CAGAGGCAGGAGGTCATCAAACGAGGCATCCAACACTACTGACTGGACCTCTGGGTATGACATCACTGCCCAACTGGCTGGGGGAGGAAATAAGGGAGAGAATAGGATGAGTCACATTTACAGCATTAAAACATGCTGAAGATGTACTGGTGTAGTGTACCTGTGAATCCTCCTATGGACCAGGCATACATGACTATGTCATTGAGCTGGAAGCCCAGTTCATGTGTTGCAAACTGGATCACTACATCCATGGCATTGGCCTCATTCTGGGGTAATGGCATTCCCTGGCAAATAGATCCAAGTGGAAAAAATAAATCAGGCAGTTAAAATAACACTCAAGCCACCAACTGTACTTCTAAAGGGTTAACAAGTTTATAATCTCTTGTTCCACTTTACTGATATCATCTACTGTGGCACTCTGCCTGCCCTCTTGTGCAACTCTGTCCAACCGAAACCAGAATATCGACAAACTGTTTTTACCCTGCATTGTTTGTGCAGACTGGGTGAAACTGTTTAGCTGTGTTTATGGCATTAACTGTGATAACGCTGCTCACCGTACTGCCTCCAAAGCCAGGGTGGTTCCAGCCCAGCACAGAGTAGCCCCCTACAAAATCAACAGAAGCTTTAAATCTGACTCAAATACAGTTTCAGACTAATAGAACATAAATATGAAAATTGAAGAATACTCCTCACCCTCCAGTGGAGTGTTCATACAGCCCACCTCATAGAAGCCAGCGTTCCCCTCACAGCAGATGACCTGTGGCACAGTTCATACATTTCAGGAACAATTTGTGATGCGTTTCATGCAACAGAAGTTATGTTGCACCCTGGAACAAGCCCAAGACACAAAAACATAAAACCATTGCAGACAATTACCAGAGTCTGGCTGTTTGGTCCCCCGTCTCTCCTTCGATCCACAAACATTGTGTCGATCTCATTCCCATCACAAGCCACAAGCTTGTTCCTTTGGCCATCAAACTGTGAAAAAATGGAGGGAAATTGACAGAGAATGGTGATAGCTATTTATTAAAACAAGCATTGTCAGTTAAAAGGTGTGATTGTGTTTACCTCTTCGATCAGCCTAGCCTGGCCTTGCTGGAGCATGGGCCTCATGGCTTTCTGCAGTAAACCTACAGAGCCAGGATACAGCATCCTCCTCCCGAATGTGTGAACAATAAGATAACTGCAGAGGAAGAGAGTAGACATGATGACACTGTTGCACCATTTAACACTGTATTTCACTGGTAAAAAAGAGATGAGAAGACAAGGGTGAAATAAGATGCAATCCTCTCCCGTCTGTATTTTTGGATCCTGCTGTATGAACTGCATTTACCTGATGATGTGACATGGGAGAGTGCGCACAGAGTTGAGGACACTGTCTGCTGCTCCTCTTAATCTGGGCTCTGGCTTCAGCAGAGAGACACCAGCTTTGGACAGTTTCCTGTCACACACAAAGTCAAAGGCTTAGAATGAAACAAAGGAGCCACAAACCGTTTAACAGTCAGTGGATTCAGTTGGTTAACTTCACAGAACAGTGAATTAGTTGTGAAAAGAATTGCAGCGAACACAAGGCCATTTGGATATAAGAGCGAAAACGTACGGATTGCTGACTTCTGTCCAACTGAAATCTGAAGGCCAGTGTGAGAAGTCAAAGTCGTAACACCTCAGCTTTTTCTTTATGAGAGAACAAAGAATAGGGCTTCAAGTCAAATTCTGAAGAACTAGTACAAAGGGTAAATTCTTGCTTTGTGTTTCAAAGATTTCGAGGTTTCACCTTATTTGCTGGAGTGTGATTTTTTTTCGTTTCTTCAAGAATGGAGATAAACTGGAGATACTCTGAGTTCTTCCATCTGCCCCACCCTGAGGGAGAGACGAGACGAGGAGAAGGGAAAGGCAAAGATTAACAGATCGATGAACACATCACAAAAAACACACATTGCTGCAAAGCTTCAAGGGTGTGTTTAGTATGCTTTGTGGTTGTACACCTTGTCCAACTGACTCTGTGATGATTACATTTTATTGGCCTGCACAGGATTATCATCTGAACATCAACATCATATCTAATGATGAATTTATTGAATTAGTCACAGCAGTCTCAGCTGAAATCTAAAGCCTCACCTCTTAGACAGGCCACTCCTAGAAGACACACCAGCACGGTTCCCAAATACTGACTCACTGGAACCAACTTACTGCTGCAGATGTAACCTAAAAGCACAAACAGCAACAGTGACACAGACGTTTACACTGTCCCCCACAGCTCTGCCAGGGCCGAGCCTCATTAACAGCACCAACACAAAGATTTACAGGCTGACAACTGCTCTGCAACCATCTGCATATCAATATCCAGAGCTCAATTATACAATAAGGATTAGAACACAACCTCACGTAATTACTTCCTATTGATGTGCAGTCTTACTGGAATGATACACTTGTTTCAATTTATATTAATCTCACAGCAGTTCCCAAGAAGAACCCACAGCAGTATTTTCTCTGCTTTAACAGAGGGAGAGAAAAACACTGCCGGTCCCTCGAATGAGACTTCTACTCTTACATGTCCAGGTAAAAAAGAGGCTTGGTTTGATCCTCGGCTCCTACAGGCAGCTCCCTTCATCTCTATCTGACATTTTATTATGTATAAAGACTTTAAACTCTGACACACTTTTCCATTATGTTACAAACTGTTTCTTCTAAATGTTGTAAAGACTGTTATTTCGCTGATGTTCTAAGGCTACACAGGGATCCCTCACATGTTATTTTCCTCTGTTAATAGGTTTTGTGTTTTTCCTTACTCTTGATGAGGACAGAGGATGGTGAACCTTGATAAGCTCTATGCCACAAATTGTGATTTGATAATATAGAAATAATCTGTCTCTCCCTGAACATAGATCATACAACCTACCTTTCCTGTACAGATAGCAGAGGAGCAGAGGGGAGCTGTAGTAGGACAGAGACCACAGAGCTGAAGCCTGGGGGGAGAAAACAAACACACACACACACACACACACACACACACACACACACACACACACACACACACACACACACACATTACCTGACTGAACTTCTCATATCTGATTCACATGAAATGATCAGTCTTACGGAGATACTGACCCAGCCAAGGATGCTGTCGGTGTGTTTCTCCACAATCCTGGGTTGGTAGCTACATCCCTGGAAACAGAAGGGGACACTTCCTAATTAGGAACAGTGCTGCTGCTAACGTTAGCTTAGCATGTAGCACTGGCTGCAGTCACTTAAAGATGTCTGAGGGATACATATTCCAACTACACACCACTCTGCCAGAGTTAACATGAATGTGTGTGGTTGTCATTATTCGTTGTCGGTTCATCGGAAAGCTTTTCTACTTTAGTTTGGGCAGTTTCCCCCCTCAGCTGATTTGTAGCTTCCGTTAGCACACGTGTGATACAGTTCTGGAGACAACATGTAGCGAAGCTTCAGTCAGACTCTCTGATGGTGTTACAGTAGAATGATAAAGTCAGGGTCCACCTGCCGCTGACACTTCATTCATTCACCGCCCGTGACCGCGGCGGCGACAGCGGAGCTTCAATAACAGACCGCTGACACTTCCGGGCCGCAGCCGCAGGCGGGTCGTCGCTGTGACAGGAATCACGGCTCTGCTCCCACACTCAGGTGATTTTAAACACACACCCAGACACTCAGACGCTCCTACCCTTCTTCCTGCTCGGCCCTCGGCTCGAGATTGTTCCGGTGTCCGGTGAATTCGCTGCAGATGAGGCCCTAAAACACAGCGTAACCACAGCCAGCTAGCCATTCTGCCACTACGAAGAGTACGGAAGCCTGCGCTGACCACACAACCAAAACGCGAAACACACTCATTGGTTGTGGAGAAAAAAACTTTATTAGAGACAAGAAAGTTAAACCAACAAGATTTATTCAAAACTGTATACATGTAAATGCAGTGGTGGAGATCAAGTGTATTTACTTCATTACTGTACTTAAATACAATACTGGAGTACTGTACATTATTTTTGATACCATGTTCCTGACCTCTACTCTTGCATATTCAAAAATATATGAGTTATTGTATTTTCTTATGGTCTAATACTACCACTACAGCTACTACTACTGCTACTACTAATAATAATATGTTAATGTAGTCGTGGAAATTAATTATATTTTCTTAAATATTGTACTTGAATACAATGCTGGATAATTGTACATGCCTAAAAAATCAGTTGATTATATTTGGTACCCTGTTCCTTAGCTCTGCTCTTTCATATTCAAAAATATTTGAGTTACTGTATTTTGTTATGGTATTAATACAACTACTACTGCTACTACTACTACTACTAATAATAATAACAACAATAATCATAATCACCATCAATACATTATTATTATTTTTGTTGTAGTTGTTCTTGATTGAATATTTCAATTTTTGTTATGTTTTATTTCACACATTTCAGGGTTCACAGCTAAAAACATGTTATGCCATTGTTTTTTCCTGCGATGTCAAATTAAAAAAAAAGAAAGATTAGTACTTAAACATTGCATCTATAATGTGCTTTTACTTTAGGATTTTAAATTATGACATTTACCTACACTAAGTATTTTCGTAGCTTGGTATTACTACTCATACAAAGTAAAGTCTCTGAATACATCCTCAACAACTTTAAACACAAATAGTGAGAGAAATAACAATAGAATAACAAATACTTCACAATAAGAGTCAAGGCACCAAGTGAATAAGACAATATCATACATTAACTCAAACACACTGAGAACACATTTTACAGCCTTATGAGAAAATCTTTTCCCCCTCTTCTCAATACAGGAGAATAAAAAAATCTGTATTAAATTTAAAACACTGAGACAACAATTGAGTTGCATTTCCCTGAAGCACTGAAGTTTTTTTATTATTATTATAAGTCCCAACTCAGACATTCAGTTGTTACTTTTGTTTATAAAGCCCTTCTGTTGCAGATGGGGGCTGAGTAGATGTGACAGCTGGATGAGGATGAGATGTGGGTATAGGTGATCAGCTCTGACACTGCTCGTATCTGAAAACAGGGCACAAAGACAAACTCGAGCACAAAAAAAATCTCCCATCCTCCAGTCTGTTTCATTCTTCCTTAAACGGCAAACACACAAACAGCCCACGCAGCCACAGCACATGGGAGATGGAGCGCATGCCTGTCAGCACGTGGCGTGATATGATGCCCCAGTGCCAGGGTGATGTTCAGGCCGGCGTGATTGGTGAGTGTGAGGAGAATGTGCAGGGGCAATTGAGTGACAGAGCAAACCAAACACACACACAGAGTTTAGCATACAAAAGCATACAGGTGATGCAAAGCCTTTCTTGCTTACCGCTCCAGTTCCTTATAGACATCATCCTCTCCTCTCGGCTTCAAATCCTGGCATGAAGATGATAAAAAGGGGGGAGAGACATGGAGTGGGACAGTGAAGAGGAGGATAAAGAGACAGATGCATGGTATTTGCATCACCACTATTGTGTAATGAGATTGATTTGTTAATACCACTAATGTAAGTGTGACAGTTGATAGGCAACCGAGAGGGGATGACAGATTGGAGGAGAAGACTGCGAGTGTGAAGTAAGACAGCTTCAGGAGAGTGGGAACGAGGATCTTTGCATTGTGAGAGTCTGTATGCATTGGAGTATTGTATGCACCACTCCTGTGTGTGTGTGTGTGTGTGCACAATAACTCACCATGTAGACCGATCCCTGGGGAGGACCCTGCTGGGAAGGGAGGAGAGAGCAAAGAAGAGGTTTAATGAGCAGCAAATGACAGAGAAGGAGTGATAGTGTAAATCAGAGGAGGAAAAAATAAAGGAGGAGGAAAGCAAAAATCGAAAAGTGTGTAGTTGTGACAAGGCACAACAGGTGAGGGAAATAAGAGGAAGATGAGGAGGGAAAATTCACTATTTGGATGATGTACCTGTCTGATATCATCAGGATTCTCATAGATGTTTTCTACTTCACCCGACTGGACAGACAGCGAATACTCGATATCTAGCACAGAGCACAGAAGGATATTCACCAGTACAGTCTGACACACACAATCAGCTGCACATGGAGGGAGTTGGGGGCAGATTCATTACAGCAACCCCAGAGGATGTCACGGCCCGCATCACTCAGAGGCCGATAGGGCCCGAAGATGGACGGAACATGGAAAGCTGTCAAAAAAAAAGAAAGAGAGAAAACGCCGGAAGACTCACCACGATCAGAAATTTGTTTCTGTCTCCATAGCAACACACCAACAGCCGCAGCAACCAGGGGCACCAGGAGTAATAAAGCAGAGAGAGAAGGGAGCATAGGGGGGGCGGTGACACCGACATGCACTAGAAAAAGGAAAAAAAAGCATGAATGTACAGAGCGCTAATGAGAAGTATCAGAGCTATTGATGTGTATGTTTGAAACACAAGGACACTGTGCACATAAGTTGTTTCCATTTGTTGTCTAGTTTGCTCATGTTGTCCGTGTCAAGAGAGGGCACCCTTTTTTATTTTAAGATGTGTTGCAGTTAAGATTTCCTCGACACGTTACAAACATTTGCATCATGCCACATGTCAGTCACGGGCTGGAGGAAATCCAGACTCCGGCAGACACAGTGAGGTGTCCCTGCAACAGCTCAATACATATCAAACTGACAGAACCTCAGTCTGGACACTGTAAATGCTGTCCATTTCAAACTTGGACAAAAGGGAAAAGATTCAGCAGAATCTAAGAGAACACATTCTGTCTGGTTATTACACAGAGCCTCAGCAAATGTCAGAGTCATACAGGGAAGTTGGATCTAAGTGTTTGCATATTCCAATTATCCTCTATTCATTTATAAAATATGTTTGTGCTGCAAATAATGTCCTGAGAGGTTATTCCTTGCAGACACCCACATTTTTGCAACAAACAACTGCAGTCTTTCAACCAAACCATGTCGATGCAGGTCTGGACAACAAGTGGATAGAAAATACAGGCTCGAGCATGACAAACACGGTGCATAAGCAAACCATAAGCTCACTGAAGTGCGAGTCAAATTTTGTGGGAAGAGCACACGCTCATGATGAGACTTGTCAGGTTTGTTTGCATAACGAGGATGACATCAGTCTTGTAAAACACAGCCACAGGGCGACATGAGAATCGGGAGGGAGGCGCTCGTTTCCACAGAGACTGCTGTAATGTGGTGTACCTGAGCGAGTGCTGCGTTGCTGCCTGCTCATGGAGCACAAAGCTATCAGATCTGTCAGACAGCTTTGAATTACAAAGAAGAGGCCAAACAAAGAAGAAAGTTGTGACCAAAGCAAACTCTTTTTACGCAGCTTTTTTCATTTCTAAACAATTCAGTGTCGGTCTGTGGAATTTGATGGGCAGACACTGCTGAAGTCCACATACTTCTCATCAACACTCCACAAATGTTGTTTGTTAAAGGATTGGCCTCTGGGCTTCACCTTAGCCTTGGTGTTACAGCTTTTAGCCAGCTTCAAAATAATCAATCATTATGTGCTGTGTGAGGTGTAATTGATTGGCAAATGTGTGTAGAGGTTGCTAATGGAATATAGCAGTGAGAGTTGACCCCGAGACTGACCCGCACTGTTCTCCATGCCAACTTTAACGCATGAATTATGGTAATTGTGTGCAGTGAAGTGAGGCATAAATTCCCCCAGTTTCTCACCACCACGTCTCATCTCTCTCTCCACCACCATCCCTCCCTTTCCATCTCCCTTTTGCCACTTCTCCTTCTCCACCTCATCTCTTTCATCTTAAATGAGGTAAGGGTTGATTTGTATTTGTGCGATCGTCGAGGAGGGGGGCTGATAAGTGGCAGACCAAAGAAGTGCTGGATGCTTTGCAAACAATGGGCTGACTCGGGGTAGAGAACGATTGCAGAACACTCCTGACATTTGAAGTATTTGTGTGCCGCAGAACACAACCATCGCTTCAATTTTGCATTCTCTGAACTGTGCCATCAATGAAAGGAATGTAATTATGCAGTGTTGATTTAACTGCTGGTGCTATATTTTGAGATTTGTCTCACAGCACAGTATATATTCTAAAACTAGAATGGCTCTCAATAGAGCGCATACCTTATGAAACCACATTTAAAGTCACTAGATCCTGATATTTATTTGGATCTGCACCAAATATAAGTCATCAGAAGCCACAAATCATTTTCTGAGAAATCAATGAAAATGTTGAAAAAAGCCCAATCTCACAATGTTAAAGAAAGACTTTCTCTCTGCATGGCCATCTTTTATAATGTCAATAGAAATCCAGCAGAAGTCGATGTGAGAACACAGCAGGGGTTCCCCCTCTGGATTCACAGCGAGCAAGTGTGTGTGTGGGGGGTTTGATGACGCTTCAAACACGGGAAAGACAAATTTTTTAAATAACAAAAACAAAAGAAATATCTCCAGGTGAAAAAGTTGAGTCACACATGTAGAAGACACCGACGAAGATGTCTGGAGAGTTTGAGGTGATAAGAGCTGACAACGGTGTATGTGTGAAGAAAATCACATGATCTCCACAGTGGAGTTACTTCCTGTCTCTGTCTCCTGAATAATGTGGAGAATTGGTTGCTGTTGTGAACGTGTCTGTGCAGAGAACCGACCGCCTAGTTGTGCATGTATGAAAGGCAAACTTTGGGTAAACTACAGAGTCAATCCTCTGGGTTTTACCTGCAGGTCATGTCTATAGATATCAGTTACTCTAATGTGCCTGAAGTTCCATGAATTATTCCCTGGGAAAACAGTGAAGATGTTGAAAAATGTCCTTTCTCTGGTCCGGATCCACACCAAAATGTAATTGGTCCTTTTCCTGAACCATACCATATTTTTTAAACTAAGTTTCGTGGAATTCTGCTTGATTGCTTTTGTGTGATCTTGCTTTTAAACCAACCAACCAACAGACAAACAGAAAGGGGTGAAAACATCACCTCTTTAGTGGAGGATATTATCACATGTTGTATCAGTGACTTGGTTATTTCCAGTGAACCAAGTTGTTTCAATTTTCTCTTAAAACTTTACCTCTGCAAAATCCCTCTGTCTCTGGATGCAGCCTTGTCACCCACTATTTATAAACCTTGAACTGTCAAACTATTCATTATCAACCTAGAATTTATATGCACTGTTAGTGTGTTTGCAAAATATAGGTCATCCAACACTTACATCTATTGAACTGTTCAGTTTAAATTCCCCACAACACATTGGACAAATGCAACACTTGTCCCTCAGGATAGATTTATTTTTCTCTAATCCAACCTTTCCAATCAGAGAAAAAATATTTCTGCCTCTTTCCCTTACCCTCTTTGTCTTTATCGCCCTCTTTCTCTCTCTCATCCACGCCCATCCCTCTCCTGGCCACAGCATCATGATGAGCTCCGAGCCCCTCAGCTCAAGTGATGCATTAGGGTATGGGGAGTGAACTCATCTCTGCTATGGGATCCATTCAACTGTCACATCCTCCTGTGCTCCCCCACAGCCCCCGATACAATAAGCCTGAATAATTTAGTTTTTGTGTGGGGAGATGTCCTGAGGTCCTGTCTTCTTATATGTGCAGAACAGCAGGGTGAGTGTGATGTGAAAAACGATTGCATTTATGTTTTATATTTTATAGAGGAAGAAGCTAAATGGTGGATTACAGCTGTGGAGGAGTTTTATAAAAACATGCATATATAGGGATTGAGTTATTCTGCAGATATTATCTGCAAACCAAAACCTTCTGGAGGACTTGACATGTGAGCCATTTAATTACAATAAGAAAGCATAACATTTGGTATCTGTCAGGAGCTTTTGCCTCCGTACACCAGAGGGAATTGAACTGCGGTTGGCTTGAATGCACCGTAGAACGCTTCGTGGAGCACACATCCGACAATCATCCACATTTATGGTTCATTATCTCCACAGAGTTGACAGGAAGTCTGCCAGGACTCCTGTGCGGGCAACACATTATTCTGTTGATGAAGAAAATCAGAAAACAGACATGTGTTTGTGATGCCATACCATCCCTCCCACCTTCAGGGGGCAGCGTGACAGCTTGCATGGCACAGATGGTCTGCCCATTTTTCAGCTTCAGGGTGCAGGTGTAGTTTCCAGCTGTGTCAGGGGTGATTGGTAAGGGCACAGTGGTGGTGATGCTGCCCGGGCTGTTGCTTGACATTTGCAGCTGGCGATTGGTGTTCTGGTGCTTCCATTTGACGCTCCGGACCTGGGACCGCTCGGAGTACAGGCAGCTCAACTCCAGCTTTGAGGATGAACGTTTGGTTTTAACTGTGATGGTAAGAGGGGGAGGGTGGGATCGTGAGGGATACAGATGAACAAACGGAGAGAAACAGAGAGAAAGACGTGTGAGTGAAGAAGACAAGAGAGGGGAGAGAAATGAATGGGTCAGGATGAGAAAGTGAGTGAAAGGGTAGTGTTTGAATACAGAAAAGGCCAAGGACAGATAGAGAGTAATGGGGTAAAGGGGAAAGTGATATGAAAAACAAAGAACAATTCAGTCAGGGGGTCAAAATAATATATATTCATTGCAAGTGATTTGCAGCTAATGCATTGGTTGACTGTGACTGATGCTTAGTGTCTCATCAAACTGAAATGAGAATCCATCTGGGTGTAATCAAGCTTCACAGACTCACAGGCACACACATAAAAACACAATAATTTCAACCTTGATTAGTGTGATCAGTGTGGGCCACCCACAGCCTTGGTGGGAGGGCAGCAGGTATAATCATACATAATGATACTTATAATGAGGTGGGGTAAAAATATATGCGTCACATGATTGGTGCGTGGATGGATGTGCATGAATGTGTGTGTGTGTATTTGAGTGATGCAGATGTGTGAAGCAGGGTGACAGTGACAGTGATGGATCGGCTGGTCATGTCTGGGCAGCTGTGATGGATGCCACTGGGACTGTGATTAGTAAAGCCTTCCAAGGCCGCTATGACAGGGCATCGTATGAGTGTGGGTGTGTTTGTGTGTGTGTGTGTGTGTGGGTGGGGGTGGGGGGGGTGCAAATGTGAATGGTGAAACCTCCCTGAGGCTGACTCATAAAAATCAACAGGTGCCTTTTTCAATTTATGAATTGAGCAAATGCTCCATTTCAGGAGCAATATTGTAAATGTGTTCATTTCATAATGCAACATTTTATCAATGGCTGTGGGAAATTCTCGTTTTGTTGAGCCTGCATAAATCAGAATAAATTATCGGTGAGAATAATCCACCAGCAGCTGGTGAGAAATCAGTGTCTTGCTCAAGAACATGTGAGCAGTGCAAATAAATGACGAAATTCCTCCAAACACGGGTCCACTGCTTATTTTAAATTGTCAGCATGAAGCGACTGTGCAACATTTTGGAAACATGTTCTTTTTCACCGTCTTGCATAGAGCGAGAAAGGTAATCTTATGACCTGACACATTATATTTAATTTGTTAATTATAATCATCAAGTGGGCGGCTGTGGCTCAGGAGTAGGAGAGGGTCATCCCTGAACCAGGAGATCGGTGGGTCCTCCAGTCTGCATTTCAAAGTATCCTTGGGCGAGATACTGAACCCTAAATTGTGTGTATTGTATGCATGGTGTGTGATAGAAAAATCTAGAAATGCTTGAATCAGTAAATTCACTTGTTCCGTAAAAAACTTTGAGATGTCGATAAGACTGGAATAGCTCTTACCATGAGTCATAAGCGAAAAGTTATGTGCTGCAACCATGTGTTGGCAATCAAACAGCAAACAAAAGCAACATCCAACACAGACTGTTGCTCAACAAAACCTCTTAATGCACTTTAATTCCCCTAAACCACACGTGTATATACACAGATTAAAGAGAACTTTACAGGTGCTTTGTGTATTTTTGAACTTTTTTGAAAGCCAGGTTAGCTTTTTGAAATTGTTTATCATCAGGTCTTGGCTCTAACTCCATTCATAAAGCACAAGAGTGGTATGAGTGAGCCTTGTTCACCAATATCTTCAGATATATCTAAAATGTGTTCTTAAGAAAGCTATGTCAGTCTCATGGCATGTACTTAAACTGCTAAATTACACATCAGCAAAATATTATAAATGATAATATATTACAGTAGTTTTAATGCTAACTGTAGAATCTAAGAAAACACAATTACTGATTATATAAGCATGTATATATATATATATATATATATGAACATATCGGTAGTCAAGTGTGCATATGTTCGCTCTTCAGTGTGTGCAAGAAAATATTGGTGAATGTCAATCTTTGTAAAAACTGCAAATGTGGGTTTTAAGAAGAAATTTCCTCTTAACATCGGTTGGTGGTTGAGGCCCAATCTCCTCATAACAGCAGAATAAAAAATATTGAAGTAGTACAAAAAACAGCCCTGTGAAAATGATTTGAAAGAGAGGAATATTTTCTGAAGGAACATCTCTCTTTTCAGGAAAAGGTGTTTAATACAGCGAAGTCTGCAGATAAGTAGAATCTGTGCCTAAAATAATATGGGGCTCCTAATGACTAATGCCATCCATCTGTTTATTAACCTCTTTCATCACAGGTACATTACATAACATCACCCACCATCTTATATAACACAAACACAAGATTATGATGAAACTAATACCACTTAATAAAACCACCCTGCTCCTTCCACCTCCTACTACTTTTCTGCCTGCTCCTGCTCCTTACCTTTCATTACGCTGACCATGGTGCTGTGGATGGAGGGCTTGTCATTGAGGAACACCTCACAGGCGTAGAGGCCACCTTCATTGAGCTCGGGCTTGAGTAGAAATGCGAAGCTCCCAGCCTCTGAGTTATAGGGCGGGCCGGCAAGCTGGACTCTCCTGCTATGCTTGGTCAGCGAGGTGGAGTCCCTCCAGCGATCATACTGGATCACACCCTGCATGTTATTCCTTGTGTCTGGGGGTTGCCACTGCAGCCGGACAAAGTCCCCCTGAAAACTGGGGCAGTTTAGGAGCAAGGGCATCCGAACCCGTGTGGCAGTAGAGGTCATAGTGTCTGCAGGAACAGAGGGAAGAGGGAGGATAAAATGCAGAATGATAGCACAGATGGGTCAGAGCCATATAGAAGAGAAGGGCACGCAGAGGCAGATATGAAGATACAACAGGGAAAAAAGACATAAAAACTGAGAATTTATAAACACAAAGAGGGGGAATAAAAAGTGAGGCGAAGACGGCGTAAACAGAATAAAGAGTGGGGAAAAGGAGATGGGGTGGGGGGGCTCCAACAACAATAGGGATTATGTTCTTATATTCTGAGAGTTACTTTGTCACTTGGTCTTGCATTCAGCTCTGCCTGATTACCAAGCTGCTGACACAGGACTTTGAGACTGTGTTACAGAGTAACTCACCATTTCTGTTATCAGTGAGCGAGACCACTTTGTCAGCTGCTGAGAGAAGGGAAGGGAGGAAAAAAAGCAAATAATGAATAATACATAAATGTATCAACTATAAAATTCACGAGAGGACAGAATGGGTTTTAGTGCAGATCTAACTTTTGAATCTTGAAACTGGTCCATAGAAGTAAATACTTTGAAGAAGAGTAGCTACAGGATGCTTAAATAAATAATGCAGCTGCAGTTTTCTGGCACTGAGGCCCACTCACACCATCGACAAAAGCAACAACATGTGTTTTCTGTTCGTCACTGCTTCTTCATTTCTCTTCTTCAAGTGCAACTCACCATCAACAGTTATGTTCACACTGAAGGGGAAAATGCTGCTGTTTCCCAAAGGGTGAACCATGCAGATGTAGACACCGTTGTCCGTGTGCTGCACCAGTGGCAGTTTTGCCTCCGTGCCCACGTTTGGTGTATTCTCGCTCTTTATGGAAATACCATCCGGTGATATCCAGGTGATTTTGGTGATGTCTGGAGTGACCCTGGCAATCATCCGCAGGGTGCTGTACTTCGGAATGATTGGAGAGGGGAGGACGGTGACTGGAGACGAGGGAGGACACAGGAAATAAGTGGAGAGAGAAATTAAGAAGCATTAAGTCTTTTATTAGCACGATCTAAAACAGAGAAACTACACGTACAGAAATATTCAGGAATTAGAATGATTGTAAAATTGTGATAAAACAGTATGTAAAACAAAACAAAAATTATTTGAATGAATAATCATAAAAAACATGCTGGTTGTTCTACCTGTAAGGATAGCTAAAAGAAGTATCCTTTCCTTCAGTTTCCTCTCTTGCTGCTGTATCAAACATGAGTAGAGGCCTCCGTCTTCCATTTTGGGGCAGAAAGACAGTGAGAAAACCCCAGTGCCTTGAAAGTTGGACTCAGTCAATTGCATGGATGCCTTCGAGGCACCGCCAGAGAACGTATTGCTCTCGCTAGCTGATAGAACCAGTTTCCATTCTTTCGCACCGAGTGACTTTACCATCCAGTTTAAGGTGACGGGACCTCTCACAGTCGCATCAGTGCAGACCAAGGTGGTGGACGAACCCGCTCTGGCCACCACGACATCATCCCAGTCTGACAGAGAGAAGAACCAAAGTTAAGAATGATAGAAAGGGAATTATCTTTAAGAATATCATTAAGCACAGTGCAGATGTTTCTTTCATCTGTTCTGAGGCTAAATGTTGTCTATTAATTCATGTTTTCAAAGCTGTCTTAAAACAATCACAGATGTATATTGAAGGAGTTATTGGTCATCATAATTGTTTCTCCTGTTTGTACTGGCAACAAAGCTAAACAGTTTCACTGTGAAGGAAAGTTGAAAACAAGACCCTCGCACTTTGTGTGTGGTTTTGAGGGGGAGGCCTGTTCGCACTTTTTTTTCTTCCGTAAAACCTTGAATAGCCAAACAACCACAGACTTCTCCACACTGTGATGGATGGCTATATGGAGAGATAGAATTTGCAAACTGTGGGTCAAGCAGTTTGCAAATTCTTGTAAACAAACCAAAGAGTCATTCTTAAGTTTTCTGTCCATGGCAACAAAGTTTTGTGAGTGACAAGTCATAAAAAATGAATCTGAAGCAGTGGAATAAAACCGACTTTCTTCACTCCTGGTTTAACCCTCTCCCTACAAGCTGCAGAATTATTTGTCAAAATACTCAAGTAAATGGCACCATGCATCTCATGGTCTAAACAACTGCCAGATTTTACACAACATTCACTTTCTAATGCAGGTACAGGCCTGTATTAAAGCACTTCCTGTTTCATTGAAAAACACTGAAATTCTATGTCAAGCTACGGAGCTGCTGTTCAAACGAAAAGGAAAAAGCTTTGCAATTTAACATTATCAAAGTCTTAAGATTAGTCTGACATAATTTGAAGTGGATTGGATTAACTCCCTGTGGAGGATTTTGTCAACGTAAAAAGCATTGGAAAAGCAAATGAATTCCTGAAATCTGCAAAATGAATTGAAAATGACGGATTTCCTGTTGGGTTAGGGTTATGGGTTAAAGAGGTTTTTTTTTTTTTAGGTCTTGGCCGAATTGAAAGACAGGGATACAATAAAAATCCTTACATTACGCTGGAGCCCTACCATGTGAGACTGAATCCAAATTCCTATACGGTTCTATCTATATGTAACAATGTCCTCTGGAGTTCAGCTGAGGCTAATTTGTGGCTTTAACATTCAGAGTCAGTTTAAACAAATCAATAAATTTCTATTTTTTTAGTGCCAAATTCCCTCTTTCTATTTCCCTGCACAGCATTTCCTCGCTGAGATGCACCAGGTGGAAAGTAACAAGAAAAATGGAAATTTGCATGAAAAATGCTTTACCTTTGAAAGATAACCACATGATTTATCAAATACTGGAAACTAAAATGCTTCAGATGCATTAATGTTATTGCAGCCAGTGTTGACAGGAGGAAGAATTACACTGGAGACACAAGAAAAGAGCAAAACTCTCTTCTAAAAAACCCAAGTTGTCTCTGAACCTGAATGTGATGTAACTCTGTCCATGAGTCATCGTTTAATTTAAAGAAACAGCTCCATTCATCTTTGCTAATCAAAAAGTGACAAAATAGTTGGGAGACGTAGGCCCCCTTTGTCCCAGCAAGAGCAGTGACAATTTCCAAATATCACGGAAAGCGTTTCGTACCTGTGATGCCAGAGTGAAAGGAATGCACCGCAAATGAAGAAACAAGAATAAAGGTGAGAAAACCAGACTCCATCACACATTTAAATCAAGGAAGCAAAACACTTTCTCTGCACCAGCTGTCTCTCCAACACTGTGACCTTTCTAAGTACTCTGCAGAACACAAAGTATTGTTCGCTCTCCTGCAGTATTACTGGTGTCCCTGACTGACATGTTAACAAGTTCACTGCAGATCCTTCAGCCCAACAGGATGTGGCACAACCAACACTGGGATAATCAGCAGGAAAGGACTGTCTGTTTCGCTGACATGTGTGTGTGTGTACAACGCTGATAAATTACAAACACTTGGAGCTGAAATTGTGTACAAATTAGTTACAGAACTCCTGACCCTAACATTCATTCTGACGAAAGGCATATAGCATGTATACATGTGTGTATCACATTGTGTGTGTGAAATGGAGAAAATGATATGAATAGCAGAAAGCCGGGGGACTGAAGAGATGAAAAGGCGAGAAATAAAGATTTTGGGTAAGTGTGGGTGCACAGTAACCCCTCGGCTACTTGTCTTTACATCCCATAAATGTCTTCAATTAAGCTAAAGGTATTATCAGCTCCTCTGAGCACTATTACAGATTTTTCCATAATTACCATTGGGTGAATGGGGGCGGTGAAGAGAGACAGAGAAAGAGAGAGAGGGGGAGATAGAGAGAAAGCAGCTATGTATTGTGGGTGTGTAATGACAGGGAAAGAGAAAAAAACAGAGAGTAGCAAGAAGGGAGAGATGTGGAGGGAGAGGTGCTCCGACAGGCTGAGAAAACCCATGGAGAGGAGAAGTATGAGAGTGTTGCAGGGGAACAGAGACAGTGTGACTTCAAAGAAGCCTGTGGCTGGTGACACAGAGCGTGCCACTGATCCTGTGGCCCCTCCTCTATGGGTAAATAATCACCATAAGCCTTGGCTCTGTCTAATGAATCCACTGCCAATGAGCTAATATCTGTTAACTATGTGCTTCATTATCACTGCCACAGACCCCCCCCGAGAGCATGAGGATGGAGGACAGGATGAATAGCAGCAAGGAGTGAAGGACGAGTGGACAAAGCAAATCGAATGACACGGGGAAGAGGCAGAGAGGGAGAGAGGGAGGAATGTGAAGTGTAAATGAAGGGAAGGTGTAAGCAGTGTGGGACGGCGAGGGAGAAAAGAGGCGAGGTACTGTGTGAGTAAAGTGGGTGGTTGCTGTAAAGTAGTAGCTGTGAAGGTCGATTTGGTATGGGTATGAAAAATGGAGTGTGTAAAGGAATGAAATCCTCTATTTGGTGGGCACATTCTTTAAAGCTCCTCACTCTGCCATGAATACGTGGCCTATGATTTAGCCGTGTATACGGGTGGTCCCTGCACACATGTTGGTGCTCAGACACTCAACTACAGGGCCACAAGATGGCTGCAAATTAGAATATGGCAATGCAGAGATGGAAATGAAAACCTGTAGCTGCTGTGCTTGCACGGCAGATGCATATGTGGGTTTGCAGTGGGCAAGGAGTGGAATGAAAATGAAAGCCTCTTGGAAGATCCTCACATTCCACTTGTACATTTGTTCTTCTGGAAGATTGTCTGACCTCTGATCATTGTTGTGTCTTTCAGAATTTACACCCCAGAATCAGACTGTGGAAATAAGAGGGTGACACTGGAGGAGAATTTTTGAAAAATGGAACAGAAAGGGAAGAAGCGGAGCGGCACAGTTGAAACTGTGGGACTTGCTGAGATGTAATTACACTGGCTGTAAAACACTTGGGTATAGGGATTAGACCTAAACCAGATAATGCCTCTGCTATGTTTGCACCAGGCTTCAGAGGAAAAATGGCACAAAATGAATTGGAAGTTATTCTGTGAAGGGATGGGGGGGGGGGAGCTGATTATTCTAGGTTTGATTCTGCTGACTGACATTAACATTTTGCCGTTCATTAATGAATGTTGATTGATTTTGGGATGTGCTGTTTTCATGAGCTCATCTAAATTCTGTGTGCGGAAACAAACAGCAGAGGGCGTAAGATCCTCTGTTTCTACACCCCCCACAGACTCTTGTATAAACTGCTGGAGGAACTACAAAGTATTTGGGGGTTTTACTTTTTTGAAGTTGAAACCAAAAGTTGAAACCAAATGTACACGTGTCGTTCTGACTTCCTGGATTTTACCTACTTGTATGTAGGAATAGTTCAAATAGACATTCTTGCATAGATTATAGTGCTTTTATTTATTCTGTTATTTGTACATATTCATATTTTGTGTGTCTTTTACTTGTGAAGCCGTTTGTAATTTAGTTTGAGAAGTGCAACAGAAATAAAGATATGATCGTTATTGTTATAATCATTGGTAATTCAAGTTCAGACCGAGCAGAACTTCGGTGTAACAGACTTAACTTCTCAGCTGCTGTTAAACAAAAGTAGGTCACTTTCCTGGAACCACTTTCTTAATGTGAAACCTGCCTGAGGTGTCATCGAGGAGCAGGTTGTAGTTTCCGAGGGGATTTCAACAAGTTGTTCACGGCAGCCCCTCCTGCTGCAGCTGGTCCTGTGGGGAGTTTTTTGGGTGGTGGGGAAGCTGGGTTTGTGACGCCTCTTAGCCTGATGACATCACCACCCAGCCACTCACACACGCGTACACACATGAACACACACTCACACACTCACACACACACATGATCAGACCGACGCGCGCTCCTCACACTCCTCACACTCGCAGGAACTAGTTGTCGGAGCAGAGCGCAGCGGAACCTCGTCACGCACAGAGCCGAGCACCAGCCGAGGACGTTTTCACCTGTGCGCCTCCGCCGGGACGAATTCACGAGGATTTTTTAATAATTGTATTTTATCCCACATTAATTTCGGCGTTTTGAGTCCGTCTTCAAGCCGCAGTGTTGGGACACTTTGCACTAGTCGGACCCCTGCGCTGCTCCACCCTGTTCCCAAACAAGTTGCGTGTGTTCACGCATCTGAAGCTGCGGTCTCGACCTGAGCACTCGCACCGGAAAGACGTGCCCGGTTCCACACAGAGGATCCCGGAGTCAACCATGGCGAGACATGACGCCCGAAATTGGCACGACCGCACTACAATGATGGGACTGCTCTGCCTGGTCGCGTCGATACTCGCAGGACACGGTAAGAAAAATCACTTGTGAATGAAAAAAAAACAACTTCCACCTCTGTCTTCAAACCTCCTCTGTGCGTAAATCATCCAGGACACATTTCAATGTTTGCTGTAGCACCTGTCAGGGCGGCGACAGGAGCAGGAAACCCGGCAGGTGATCCCCTTTAACTCGGTGTATTGAGGACATTATAAAGCTAGAATCTTTATTTTCCCGATGGGTTTTATTTGCAGAGTGAAGTGAGACACTTTAATCTTCTTTTCCCGTCTTTCTCTCGGTGTTTTCGTTCGTAACTTTGAGCTGTATCGATCTTTTGGGCCCGAGTTTCGGTCGGTGACTCAACAGCCTTTAGTTTTTCTAAGGTGTGGCTCTGTGGAGCAAGGTGCTTTTTCCCCAGGTGTCGTCTCTCTCCTCTTTTAAACTCACTCTCTGCTCCACTGCGTCCTTAGTGCTTTTTTTTTCTCCCCTAAAGCCAATTTCTCCTCCTCAACTCCCCCATGCTCCTTTTCCTTTATCCTCTGTCCACACATCATCCTTTATTAGTCACAGTTCACTTGAGAAAAGTGGCTCTGGAATCAGCTCTTAATGTACACACAGAAGGCTGTGTGTGTCTACAGTAAGCCAGGCAGAGTTTTCATCCAGTGAATCAAAGATCTGTAATACACATAGATCTGTAACGTAACTAAGAACAAGTCAACAGGCTCCTCCTGCCTCCTTGGCAACAGGTTGACACATGTTTAATATTTCAGGTGTTTTCCAGGCCACTCGAGGTCATGTTGCCTTCAGGTTCTAAGGTCACAGACAGTAAAGGCCCAGAAATGACAGCAAACATTCCTGGCATGCAGTTAACCCATTAACATATGAATATGTGCATGTGTTTCATTTCTGCTTCCCGTGCAGAGGACAGCTATTTGTTTTGTGCTGTAATTGGGGCAAGAATGTAGGACTATTTCTAACTCATCACAACAGTATGCATTTTCAGCTCCGTACTGTAAATGTTGCTTTTAATCACGACTCATGAGCTCGGTCGCTCTTTTGACTTATTCATGCTGTGGACCTTTTCTGTCCATTTTCATTTTACAGAAGTGCTCTTGGGGGGGGAACAAAACAAGAGGTTTTACATATTTATGAGGGAGAAGAAAAAACTAAAGGCTTTAACCAGGACACATAAAGACTGGTGTTTTATTTGAGCCATTTGTTTTTTGTTTCAACATGCACCTCTAACCTCCTTTTGGGGAATAGTTAAGCAATGTAAGTTAAAGCTGCAACTGCTGCAGGAACAGAACTTCTTTCCAGTCGTCTACTTTTGCATTTTTTAGTTTCCCCGTTTCCACTGGAGCTTTGTCAGCACCCACTTACCTCCACCTTCTACCCTGCAGTCTGAAACTGAGAGAATTCTCTGCAAAGTTTTCACTACAATATGCCCCTGCTTTAATTTAAAAAGAAAAAAATCAATGTCGAGATTGATGGGTTTTAATTAAGGTTGGATTCTGTGTGCCTTAATAGAAGATTGCAGGTTGGGGGTCTAGTTTAAGCTCTGAAATTACACTATATTACAGAACCCCCAACCCCCCCCCAAGTCAAGGTTGTAAGGGGCCCATATATGTGGGTCAGAAAGGCTTGGTCCATTACCATGGAGATGTTTTTATTGGGAGAAGGGTGGGCTTATGTGAGGGGAGTTTGGGTGGGGGGTCTGAGGCTATAGCAGCATTGTCTTTATGGCTGAGTTTGCTGTGTGCGCGGGGGGGGGGGACTGGCTGGCTGCCTGCCTGAGAAACTGTTGAGCATGCAGGGTCAGGTCCGGGGGAGGAGGCTGCTTCCTCTTCTGTCCCCAAATAAAGCAATGTTTTTCTTTGTGGACCTGAAAGCATCCAGCAAAGGCTTCTCTCCGTGGCCCTCGTCGGAGTTTTGCTAAAGGAAACAGGTGGCTGTTCCCGGCAGCCCCGCTTCATTCTGCAGGGCTGCGGCTGAGTTTCGGGGATTGGCTGGAAAACTAAACGGACAGCAACTGATTAAGACAGGCAACGCCACACCTCCCCTTTCCCACCCGCCACTCGAAGCCTCCCTGTCTCCCGCCAAACCCTCGCTCCCTCCCCCACCTCTGCTGTCGAGTACATACAGGGGCCTTGTTCTCGTCTCTTTTTTTAAATTCCAGCTATCTTTCATTCTCGCCTGTCCCGCTCCCCTGTTTGAGTGACGGTAGTCATTGGGTTATTGAAATGGACCCCCCCCACCCCCCACCCCCTCACCCGACTCCCAGCCTCTGTTTGGACTCAAGGCCGTGCTGCATATGACAGGAATATCATGCAGACAGGCAGGAAAATAAACCACTTGAGAGCCCCACCACGGTCTGTCACCATGGCTGTACAATTTTTTTTGTCAGCCAGAGTCGTTTGAGGCCCTGCTGAAATGGTGTTTTGCAACCCACATGGTTACACTAGCTAATGTTGTAATGACATGAGATGCTGGAAATTTCCCAGCATCTTCACAACTTGCTCCTATCTCACACACGCACACACACACACATGCACTAGTCTCGCTGTTCCCTTACACATGAAGATATCCTGTGAGAACAGTGCAGTTCTGCCAGCTTGAGATCATTCATCATTACAACAGGCAAAAAAACCTGTCACCCTCTGACTATTAAGAAAAATGTAGTTGATGAATCATGAGGAGTTTATTTTTCTTCCCTAATAAAAGAAAGAAAAAGTAAGTCCTTAGTATCTCATTAGTCCCCATGGATCGAGGGGCTTCGGTCTGAGTTTGGTTTTTGCGTTAATGGCTGTCACAGTTAGGTCCTGTCATTATGTAAATGAGCTGTCCTCGCCCCTTTGCAGCGGCCTTGTAAATGTCAGATGGATTTTGAAAAGGTCAGGTAGACCTATGTGTGTGTAGGAGAATCTCATTCTACGTTTGATATACACTAGTACTTCCTTACATACATTACACGAAGGGGCCTTCCCTGTTTAAATGACACATCAATAACCTCTTTCTTCCCCTTATAATCACAATTAAGAGTTCATTGATTCAGACAAGTATGCTTGAATATACGGTTTAATGAAGATGTGACAGTGATACCAACCCCGCGTGTGTGTGTACGTGTGTGTCCTCCTGGAAAATGTGTAGCGAATGTGGCTCCTTTATTTTCAAATAACTCAATTATAGAACGACTAAAGCAAATATTTGTTATTTCACCAGGAAAAAGAAGTAATTTTTGCTCAGTAGTGATTTGCAGTGGCAGCCTAGAAACAAAATGCCTCTTATTTAACAATTAAGTAGCAATGGATAGAAAGCTTTTAAAATGGATGCATGGAAAACATTTCAGCAGGAGGCACTTTTCAAGACACGACGGCTATATTTATAAAAA